ATTTTTTAGATCGATGATCCAGATTGGGCCCGATTTCGAATCGGTGAAATCGGGCCTGCCGGCCCCCTTTTTTTTTTTTTGGTGGTCTGCATAGTCCGCCATGAGGGCGAAAAGGCCCCTGGCGCCGAAAAAAAAAAAAAAAAACTAACCTACACTGATGCGCTGGGGGCGCCCGGTGGCCAACCGGGCGTGACAACCGGCCAGGCGGCCCGCCCCCCCCCCAGGCGACTACCAGGCCGCCGGGCGGCCCGGGTACCAGCACTGCAAAATTATGAAAAAATCAGTAAAAAATATTTTCATCCTCGTTTTTTTTTTTTTTTTCGAATTTGCTTGTGAATTTCGATAAGACTCTCAAGTAAACGTTGTTTGTATTGCATTGGTGTATAACATTTTATTTTTTTCGGATTTGTTTTATTATTTTTGAAAAATAAAAATTGCAAGAATTTGAGTACAACGTACGTACGGTGTATTCGAATACAACGTACGTACGTTATATTCGAACGTACGTTCTATTCGGGGAAAAACAAGCGATTCCTGAGAAACCGATTTCCAGAGTTAATTTCCGGTTAAGAAGGTAGCACCAAGCATGACGTGTCCACGATCTTTGAAAATGCCAACGTTGATTCTTTATGGGTGGCTGGTTCTGAAGTGGGAGTCACAATGATGCAAGCCGAGGTGCAACATCACTGGTGTGGAGGAAACACTCTGTCAACATTGGATGACACCCACGTCTAGATTGAATGGATGGTGACCTGGGTTGCCGTTTTTCAAATGACCCATGGAATCTGAGTTCTGTGCCTGTTGACATACCCCTGTGTAAGTAGATTTTCCTATTCATAATATTCAATTTATTCTAGTTTTGAATTGAACTTGATTACGTGCATGGAAAGAAATGCGATATCATCGGGTCCAAATTGGTTGTGCACGGATTTGATGCGACTGTGGGAATCATGGATGAATGAGCGCAAGGCACGATGTTCAAAATATGTGAGTGAGCATTGTGAAAATGCCATTACTGAGATTTCTTTGAATATCGTGGTGATATTTTGGTTGTGAATTGATTTTCGTTGGCTGTGTGGTACCCCCTGCTGCATGACTGGGGATTCGAGTTTCACTGGAGCGGAGGGCATGATATGTGGATCATCATGACAGTTGTTGTGGGTGAATCTGATCATGGACACTTTAGGTGCACTTGCTCTTGCTACTGAGCCACCACTAGATAGGCTCATGCTGTCGCCTCCAATTGGCCTCAAGTATGTTGGATTTCACCTCAAAATCGAAGGCTCAAACTTTAAACTTGAAAACTGAACAGTGTTTTTCTTGCCTTTATTCCTCCTTTCCCTTTGCTGCAATTCTAACCAAGAAAGTATCCCCCAGATTGAAAGAGTGAGAGTGAAAGGATGGGACATAGTGTGCTGATGACAACTTTCTACCACCATGCTGTTTCCTCCTCGCTGCCCAGAAACACAGATCCACATCAGCTGGGTGAGGTCCAGATACGGTGCCAGACAATCCTGGTATGAAAAAAAAAGAAAAAAAGAGAGAAATGCAAAAGTAAATGGAACCGAGGACAAGTCGATACTAGGACACAGACAGCGCATGGATGACAGGTGCAGGAAATACATAGGCTAGGTGTTACATCTTCGACGCCACACGGGTCCTACCGGACCGGACTTAGGGCTAGAGGGACACACCAGGGCCTAAAGGCGCAACCTTGGGGTACTACAGGCCATAAAGGCCTCACCTTGGACCAGACCCGACGGGCAGGCCCAAACGACATTACCGTTTGGGCCTGGCGGCGCTCTTGAGGCTGCCGCCCGCCGGTTGGGGCTGAACCGTCCATCTGGACGGTTCAGGGCACGGCCAGGCCTCGCAGCAGTGAGGCCGGCCTCTGCCCACCGGTATAAAGAACCGGTCCGGCCTCACTTGGAGGCATCGACCTACCGGCATTCTACCGGTACGGTATGGTACAGCGCGAGACAGCGCTGGCGCTAAGTTTAGCGCAGGAGCAGCGAGGAGCAGCAGCGCAGCATTAACGCAGCAGCGAGCGAGCAGCAGCAGCGGCGACTGGGTGTGCCGGCGGCCATAGCCGCCTGAGGTATCGGGGTTGGAGGCCTCTCTCCTCCCTCCCCTTGCCAGTCCCCTCTCTCTCGCTCTCTCCGCCTCGGCTCCTTCTTCTTCTTCTTCTTCTTCTTCTTCTTCTTCTTCTTCTTCCCCTCTTCAGACTCCATCTTTTTCTTCTTCTTCTTCAGATTGGAGACTTATACTAGTTGGACAGAGATCAGTATTGGACTTCGGTGGTATGAGACTGTGGTACTTACCGGATTGGAGACTTGGAGATTGTTGGGGTTGATACTCGGCTGCATCACAGTTCGGACACTGGCTACATTTGGACTCTGTACCTCCGACATTGGTGACCTATTGTCCTCGACATTTTGATCTTGTTGGATGACATCTTGGACTACCATATCGGTGACCTATCAGATTCTATCTCGGTGACCTTCGGTGCTGTCTACCTCCCCCACCTCCTTCGTCTCTCCTCCCACCTCTCATCTGTGTATGCGTGTACGAGGTCTGGGCATCGTCTATACTTGGCCCAGACCCCACCATCTCACGATTGTATGTGTGTGGAGTGATTCTTGAGTCAGTCCGTGTGAGTAAGTCTATGTGAGTCAGTCCGTTTATCAGACTTCCGCTGCATATATGCTCATCCTACATTGGTTGATCTTTGGTTCTGCCCATACTTGTTGAAGTATGCAACACTAGGTGACTACGACTACCTAGGGTGAAAAAGGGATATGCGGTCTGAGGGACCGCCAGGACCCCCCCCCCCTCCCGGGGATTACCCTGCAGCGTGCCTGGGTGCTGTCAGTAAGCTTCCTGACTTGCAGATGAATCCCTGAGGAGGGGTTGGAGGTTGGGAGTGGGTTGAGCTGAACCAGCACCCCCTTGCTTAGGTGGCTCGAGCCACATTAAGTGATGTCATCAGAGGGAGGACAATCTGCAAACTGTCATCAAGTGCATCTCGGAAGGCTGGAAAGAGCTGTTGAACGAAGCGTCGACTTGGAAATCTGGGGAATGGTCTGGCTGTCTTTACATCTTTTCCAATCACTTCATCGGTTCACGGCTCCTCGTCCATTTTTAATAATGACGTGGAAAGCAGTTCAAAGAACAGCCTTAGATCTGTTCGTTCTTAGGAAAGTAAGAGTGTTGGGGCCATGGCCCAAACCAATATTCAGAAGGGATATGACAATTCAGGATTTGGAATTCAACCCAACAGAATGGGCGTAGACATCAGGAGGAAGCAAAAAATTAATCCCAAAACAAAAAAACATCCACATCCACGATTACTCAGTCAAACCGGGTTACAATCTACACATCAAGACTAAGGATCCTGATCCCATAATAAAAAATAGATGGCTCAAACTAATCGGACAGGACGCTACTCAGATTTCACAAATACCCTAGAAAAAGTACAAATCAATCAGGCCAGTCAAAATCAGGGGCCTCCAATCGCTAATCTCATGTGTGGTGCTACCGGTCAACCAATGGCTGCACATCCGAAGATATAAGAAAGTTCCTAACAACTCAGACTTATGTGTATTATGTTCGGACAATGAACCAGAAGATATGCTTCACTGCCTAATATACTGTAGAGAAGCAATGGAGTACTGGGCTAGGGCATCAGACCTCTGGTAATGCTGTGGTCCATCTGGAAGGAAGCAACAAAACAAGACTTTCTTTGCCAGATGACGTGGACCTACAGCGGAGAATTCTAGCAAAATTCACTAAGGTTTGGCAGGCAGCAAAGTGGCAGGACTCCCACATACGGTGGAAGGACTGGCACAACTCTGAAGTGAAGTGGGGTGCAGAAGGTTTAGATGTCAGCCGACAGAGGGACAAGTCCAGCCACAGGCTATATACTAAATAGTATTCAACAACAAAATCTTAGATTGCATGTGGCCCTAGCTTCTTATCTTTCTTGTTCTTCAGGCAAATATGGCAGGTTCAGACAATGGACCTGAGAGGAAAGGTAGATGAAATGCCATCCGACAGTCAATCCTCCGGTACCGGAGCAATAAATGCTGGTCAGGGATCCTTCGGCCAGATGGAAGGAAGCGTGAGGGTGTTCATGATGTAATATTTCATTCTGACTTGCCGGTGGAATAGGAACCGGACTGACGCTCACCAGAATGGATCTGCAGTCAGGACCAAAATGACCTGTTTTATTTATATAAAAAAAAGTTGTTTTCCTCTGGGCTGTCACGTGGTCTGTCATTGGAGTGCTCGTTCGTCTGGTTGCAGGGTAGTGGCATGGAGTGGTGGGGTTAACCAATCTTTCAGAACTAATCTGTTCCCTTCTATCGTGCTTAGATTCCCCCCTCCAAGTTTCGATGCAGTGAATCTTTTAATAACCTCTAGTTTTTGTCCGAGGCATTTTGAATTTGGGTCTGAGCTCTTTTCCAGAGGGTGTGGATTTCCGTTTCTATTTGTTTCAAATTGTTTGATTATAATGAGGGGTTTTTCAGGATTAGTGAGGCGATCCAAAAGTCTGGTCGCATCTCCTTCTCCAGATTGCCCAAAGAGTCGCTTTTCTTATTTGCGAGAAGAAGAATAGGTCGAGACCTTTGAAACGAGGGGTTTGTTCTATGTCCGGGAGTAGAGTGCCTGGGTTAATTTGCACTGTTTTACTAGAGTATTTGCTCCAAGTTTGTTCTACTTCATTCCAGAGAGTTTGGGTTTTCCCACATTCCAGGAAACAGTGGTTGATTGTCTCTATAGATTGGGAGTTGCAGACTTTACACCATGATTCTTGCTCTGATCTGTCTTCCTTCTTACGTCTTTGTGCTAGCCAAACGTTCACTGGGACCGCTCTATGAGTTATGAGCCGGAGTAGACTTGCCAGTGTGATTGGTCTAGCGCAGAATACTGATGACCGGGAGGGTTTGAAGGTCGTGTTTGCTAGAGAGCTTTCTTCCTTTTGCCATCTTTTTGTACGATAGCTGAGATCGTAATGGGTGTGGATTGTGTTGAGAACAGTTTATAGCCTAGTTTGGGGGTGCAGTCTGTCATTTTGTGCCAGTTTGACAAACCAAAAGTTGCATTTCCCTGAGCCTAAGATTTACAGTGCCACTGTGAGGAAAAGTAATTGTGGTACCGGGCCTGGGCACTGTAGATTTTGGCCCGGTACTTGTAGACAAGAAAAATGAACGGTTCAGGGGGCCTTGGAGTGGTGGTTTAAAATTGGTACTACTTTGTGTGCATGCCTTGGTGGTGGAAAAGGCACTGGAAAGAAGCCCCCCACATAGCAGGGGTTTTGCCCAGATTTCTTTCAATTTCTTTTTTATAAGAGGAGAGGAGAGAACAAATCCCTTGGTTTTCCAACAGTTTTCAACGAAGCTCAAACCCTCCCTCTGTCAGACCCCTTTTGACACCCATGATCCTTTGTCATATTACAAAATCTACAGGTCCACTCTTTTCAAGTGAAGCCTGACCTTTTCTGAGACAATTTCTTCGTTCTGTGCTACTTACCAGGGCCCCATTGATTACAAACATGATGTGGAGGAACTTGGGTATACAGGTAATGTTTGTAATAAGCCATGTCAGCTTACGCTCAAACTGGGGCTACCCTGATCAAATTTGAATGTAAATGATGGGGGTCGACCCGGTCGAATCAGACTGCAACCACTCACTTTATTGTACTTCAGCAGTTCCACAGTATCATAATGAAAAATTTACGATGCATTCAGATATATAAAAACAGAAAGCCTTTGGCCTTTATACTGAATCAAATTGCACCTGGAATCCAATAGGCAGTTGCAGTATTTGTGATGGGCAACCAACCGTGCAAAAATGAAAGATCATAATTCAAGTGGTGTCATGATTCTACTCCATTGCGAGAAAATGAAAGACTTGCTGATGGAAAGGTTCCACCTTTACTGCCCCCCCCCAAAAAAAAGAAAAAAGAAAAAAAAAAGAACAAGTGTGACGATGCAGCCTTCTTGGTGTGTGGGGCTGCAGGTTGACAGACAGCTGCAGCAATTGATTCAGGTAGAGGTTCCAGAACAGAGTCCAGCTTAGTTTTTGAAACCAGTGACAATATTTGTTATTTTCCGCTGCATAGAGAGGACTGCCGTACTCTCTATACAGGAAAACACTCTCTCAAAGTGATTCGTTTTCTTACAATGGAGACGGACCCCGTTTTCAAGGTGGTAGAACTGTTTCATTGTTGGATTGTCTCAACTCTCAACTCAAGCGTTTCGTTGTCTGCGATAGGACTAAAGCTGCTTCGATTTTGCACCTACTATCTGGATTCTGGATGGAATAGGGTTTATTGTGGTGAAAATTCAGAACACACACACAAGCAAACATTTATGGGGACATTTGAGACCATCATGCACACACAGACACACACACAAACATTTTTTTGGGGGGGGACATTGTTTTAAGACTATCATGCACACACAGACACACACTCATATGAAAATTTTTGGGGTGCGCTGCTGAGTGCGGCCACAATTTATTTTTTCTTGCCAACTGTCATTTTTATGGGGGGGGGGGGGGG